TTTGTTTTAAATGCATGATTTTAAAAGTGAAAATATCTTGTCAATTAATTTTGTTTCTCTGACATCTAAAATAATTAATGAGTATTTAATGAATTAAACAGAGAAAGAATCGCAAAAGGATGTTCTTTGAATCGAGAAAACACAAAAAGTAAATATTTAAATGGATTTCCTTTTTAGTAGTGTCGATGGTAAAAATAAATCAAAAAAATAAATTGTAAAAAATCAACCAATAGAATCGATAGAATTCTTCTGAGAATGGCTGTGTGAGTGGCACATGTCAAAGTGACTTCTCTTGTATAGGGGATTATAGATAAATGAAATATTGCACTATATTACAGATATTATTTATTTTTATTTCCATGAGCTTTTCTCAAATTATCATGCGTTTCGAGCTTTAAAAGTATTACAAGTTCTCTTTATAAAAAGCTTAGGTAAAAGGAAAAACAGAAAAAGGAGAAGTGACAGAGAGGTATATAACCATTTGTCTGAATTATAAAAAAGGGAAAGCCTTTTACTACGTCTGTCGTAAAATTATTTTGTAATATCAAATACTACAAAATTAGAAAAATACTAAAGAAAAGAGAACGAAAGAAAAAATCTAGTGAGAGAAGGAGATGGGGACGAAGTAAAGAAGCGAATGAACCAGCGAGGAAGAAGAGATATTTTTATAAAAAGCTTTCACTATCTATAAGTTAGCTTCACTTCTTGTCTGATAAAAAACAGTCTTTGAAGAGTGATTTGAGAGAACTGCGGAGAGCAGAGGACTTCTCACTTCTGATCCCACTCTCTAATTAAAACCTAACATTACAAGTAAGTGAATTCGTAAGTACTTTCTTTATTCAACTAGTTGTTATAGGTTCTGTTCATATTCCTCTGTTTTTTCTTTTGTGTGTGCCTCAGATCCATTTTCTCGAGCTGAACTCATTATTGTACAAGTGAGACTTGTTTCTGTTGATGGGCACTACTAAACCATTTTAAAGATCAGATCTTTCGATCAATTTTATTCATAACCCTTAACTGCTGCAAAATTTCGATCTTTGGATAGATGATGAACCATTTTAATGATCTTGTTAATTTCAGCGTTAAAACAAATGAGTAGTCGCCTCTGATGTCTTCCAATTTCAACTTCTTTTGACCTAGTGCGATTCTTTAGGGGTGCCTTTAGTATTGTGGACCCATATATCATGTCTCTTAGGACATGTGAAAATATGACCGAAGTTGCACTGTTGAGTTGGAAAAGTGTCTCTTCCAGATCTCACTTCTAAATCTGAATCTAATTCATACTATTGATTACAGATTCATATTTAGTTCTGATCAAGCCATATCAAAATCATTTTTGTATCTTTCATAAGTGAAAAACTGTAACTACAAAAATAAGTTGTTACATACTTTGGTTTCACTGAATCTACAGGCGAGGTCTATAGAAACATGAAGAACGGGAAGCAATCTTCGCAACCCGAAAAAGGTTCTTCCAGGATCTTTTCACTCAGTATCTTGTTCATCGCATTGTGCGGTTTCTCCTTCTACCTCGGCGGTATGTTTTGCTCTGAGAGAGTGAAGATCGAAGCCAAAGATGTGACAAGTACCACTACAAAGGCTGTAGCTTCCCCTATGAAACCAACAGTTTCACCTCTTCAAATCAAATCCGTCTCATTCCCTGAATGCAGCTCAGAGTTGCAAGATTACACACCCTGCACCGATCCAAAGGTAAACAAATAAATCAACTCTTACTTTGTTTCATAAAACTGAACGGTTGTTGTGTTGTTTTCCTGTTCTCAGAGATGGAAGAGGTACGGTGTCCATCGCCTAAGTTTCTTGGAGCGTCACTGTCCTCCTGTTTATGAAAAGAGTGAGTGTTTGATTCCACCACCAGACGGGTATAAGCCACCTATAAGATGGCCTAAGAGCAGAGACCAGTGTTGGTACAAGAACGTGCCTTATGACTGGATCAACAAGCAAAAATCAAATCAGCATTGGCTCAAGAAAGAAGGTGACAAGTTTCATTTCCCTGGTGGTGGTACCATGTTTCCTCGTGGAGTTAGTCACTATGTTGATCAGATGCAAGATCTGATTCCAGAAATGAAAGATGGTACTGTCAGAACCGCCATTGATACTGGCTGTGGGGTTAGTCTCTTTCTCTCTTTTCAGCTACTCAAAATTCTTTAACCGGTTCCGGTTTATAAAGTTTTTTGAGTTGGTTTGGTTTGTAGGTTGCGAGTTGGGGAGGTGATCTATTGGACCGTGGGATACTAACAATCTCTCTTGCTCCTAGAGATAACCATGAAGCTCAGGTTCAGTTTGCTCTTGAACGTGGGATCCCTGCTATTCTTGGGGTTATCTCTACTCAACGTCTCCCTTTCCCTTCAAATTCATTTGATATGGCTCATTGCTCAAGATGTCTTATTCCCTGGACTGAGTTTGGTAAGCATCTGCTTGATGGTTTAAGATTAAACATGATCCTAGTCTGAGTAAGACTTTGTTCAATCCGGATTTTGATTCGGTTTAGGATCACTTTTTCGGTTTTAGAAATATTCATATCCAAGATCAAACCAAATCTATTATGGATGGTTTGGTTTGGATTCAGTTTTTAATAAAACATACTCTTAATTCTCTAACACATTTAGGTCTTATGTCTGGTTTTGGTTTTTCGGATATAGAAAATTAATTAATCTGTATTAATTATTTTAGGTCGGTTATTTCGGTTTGGTTTGTCCAGATTAAACACACTACCAATTGATTGTAATTGGTTTTATCATTTGATTTTGTTTGAAACATTTTGGCATTAAGAAGAATAACAAAATGAGTTTGTTGTACGATCTTGCAGGTGGAATCTATTTGCTTGAGATTCACCGTATAGTCCGACCTGGAGGTTTCTGGGTTCTTTCGGGTCCACCAGTGAACTACAACAGACGGTGGCGCGGATGGAACACAACCATGGAAGATCAGAAATCAGACTACAACAAGCTTCAGTCACTTCTAACCTCCATGTGTTTCAAAAAGTACGCACAAAAAGACGACATAGCCGTGTGGCAGAAACTCTCAGACAAATCTTGTTACGACAAAATCGCAAAGAACATGGAAGCTTACCCTCCAAAATGTGACGACAGCATAGAGCCTGACTCCGCTTGGTACACTCCCCTCCGTCCCTGCGTGGTTGCACCGACCGCTAAAGTCAAGAACTCCGGACTCGGGTCGTTACCGAAATGGCCCGAGAGGCTCAACGTGGCACCAGAGAGAATCTCTGATGTACATGGAGGGAGCGCGAGTGGGTTGAAACATGATGATGGTAAGTGGAAGAACAGAGTTAAGCATTACAAGAAAGTGTTACCAGCTCTTGGAACAGACAAGGTGAGGAATGTTATGGATATGAACACGGTTTATGGAGGTTTCGCTGCTGCTCTTGTCAAGGATCCTGTGTGGGTCATGAACGTTGTCTCGTCTTACAGTGCGAATACGCTTCCTGTTGTCTTTGATCGTGGTCTCATCGGAACCTACCACGACTGGTAATACAATCGTTTTCACACAGACTCTGTTCTTATTAATGTGTATGTGAATGATGTTAACGTGAAACTGAACCTGTAGGTGCGAAGCTTTCTCGACGTATCCAAGAACCTATGATCTTCTTCACCTTGACAGCCTTTTCACCCTTGAGAGCCACAGGTACGGTTATATTTCGGTTTTCTATGGTTTACGTTAATTTTGAATCTTATGTTCAGTTTCGTTTTTTTTTTCTGGTATGCCAAAAAGTAAAACTAATTCAACAAATTTAAGACTAATTTTTGGTTTCAGATCGATTCTATGGTTTGTTCGGACCGGAATAGTTTAGTTTATCCAAATTAAGCACCGGTTAAATTGATTTTTTGATTTGGTTATGTATGTGTTCTGGTATTAATAGTGTGGTAATGTGTGTGAAACAGATGTGAGATGAAATACGTGTTGCTGGAGATGGACCGGATATTGAGACCGGGTGGGTATGTAATAATCAGAGAATCGAGTTATTTCATGGACGCGATCACGACTTTGGCCAAGGGGACGAGGTGGAGTTGTCGGAGAGAGGAGACTGAGTATGCCGTGGAAAGCGAGAAGATTCTTGTTTGCCAGAAGAAGCTTTGGTTTGCGTCTAACCAGACCTCTTGATGAGCCACTGTATCAAAAAAAAAAAAAAAACCGAAGAGGCGAAGATATATTGGATTAATCATAATGTTTCATCAGTCTCCTGTGACGCAGGGACGAAATGCTGTTCTTTAAATCCAAGATATAGCTATAAACAGTTTTCGTTCTTTTTTTTGTGTTATGATTACTTTATCGGATATAGATGTTATATTTAATTACATTTACAGTTTAATTATGTGTTAAATGTCAAACCGTCTGTCAAACCCCAAAACCAAAGCGGATCGGATATAGATGTTATATTTTGTTACATTCATTAAACCGTCTGTCAAACCCCAAAACCAAAGCGGATCGGATATAGATGTTATATTTTGTTACATTCATTAAATCGTCTGTCAAACCCCAAAACCAAAGCGGTCCAGTCAGTTGTTAAATAAGCTTATACTATTTGATATCTCTGATATATATAGTTAATATGTATTCCGAGTTTATAAACAAAAAAAACTCATTGTTAAAAGATGAACAAAAGGACTGATATGCCATAGCTGAGCAGCTTCGGAAACTTCAACCTATACAATGGAACTGAAGACTCAGAGTTATCCAGATCGGACTAGGATATGTAACACTTTGTCCTAAGTTTTTAATCAAAAGATTAGTTTTTTTTGTTAAGAAAAAATAATATAATATTTAATTCTTTAAACGATCGCCAATGTACAAAGCAAAGTGAGAAGAGTGCCAACTTTAAAATGCGAGAAGAAAAAACAGATTGAATTTTTTGATCTTCTTGTTTTGTAAATTTACGCAGAAATTTTAATACATGGATGATGATGACAAACAGTGGAACAGTTTTAACTTGGAAAAATTCTCACAAATACAAACAGTTTAAACGGTTACTTTGTGCGGCCTCGCTTCTCCTCGATCCCAGATTGAGAGAAGCGTTTCCTAAGAACTTCAAGAACATCTTCAAACTTCACATCCCTTTTAGACATAAGCACCATCGCATGGTACAACACATCCGCCATTTCTGATGCTGTTCTTGATACTTCCTCCTTATCCTCAAGCGTTCTGCATAACTCGTCTGCTTCTTCCCTGAACCACAAACATCACAATAAGCTTCATACATAGCTCGATGATCTGTTGGAACATTTGATTGAAGATAGCAGGCAAAAATACCTGATCTTTGAGCAAAGCAGAGCATCATCGGTCAATAACCTCCGAGTCCATGACGGTTTGCCTTCTTGAGGAAGTGTTGATTCTTCTTTCCGCTTCGAAATGATTGATTCTAGTGAATACAATGTGGTTGATGCTAGCTTTTCTCCTGAAGCCTGTGTAAGGTTGAAAATTTGATTTTCTTCAGATTTAACTTAATCTATTGTCACAGAAAAAAGTAAACGAGATTCCACAAGAGGAAACCTCATTATCGTTTAGTTGATCGAAAACCGATGTGTAGTAACATGTCTCTGCCCCTGTGTGACACGTAGGCCCATCAGGTGTTCCAAGGTAAATTATCTGAGTATTCACAAGCCAACTAAGTTAATAAAACAGTGCATAGAGAGTTTGTCAGATTCTAATGACAATTGTTGAGACAAACATACCGAATCACGATCACAGTCAAGATAAACATCAAGGACATTGATGAAGTTATTGGATGTCTCTCCCTTAGTCCACAAGGTTGATCTTGATCGACTGAAGAACGTAGCTTTCCGAGAAGTGATGGTTGTGGAGAGCGCCTCTCTGTTAGCAAAGCCTTGCATTAACACCGCTCCAGTGTCAACATTTTGTGCTATTGCCACAACTAATCCTTTGTCATCCCATTTTATGCGGTCCAACAAGTTATCTACCTAAACCAAAGAAAACAGGCAAGATAAATACCAGGCGGAGTACAGAAACTAAAAAAGATCAAAGTTGCAACACAAACAAAGTAAGCCCTCTACGCAATATCACACTTGCTATGGGAATCATATAAAAATGTCTCAGTGAAGATTATTAGAGTTGTGGGGGACAGATGTAGCCCATGACATCACAGATTGAGATGACCAAGCAAACGATGAACACCTTTAGAGAGAATTTCAGACCAAAAGATGGAAACCATCAGAAGGGCTTTCCCTCTCTCTCTTTTCTTTACCAGAGATGTAACAGTCCAAACCCATGAGTCATAAGGGTAGGAACCTGACCATCTCTGGCCACAGGACAAATGACAGCCGAACATAACAAACAAAAATCCAATTGTAATAACAAAGTTTAGGATAAAGTGTGATGAACAGATGTAGCTCAAGTCATCACTAAAATGCAGACGACCAAGCAAACGATGAGCATCTAAAAAGAGAAACCCAGATCCTAAAGATGGAAACCATCTTAAAAACCTTTCATTCTCTCAGTTTTATTTACCCGACATGTAACAGTAACTACTCATGTATTAAAGAGAAGCCACCTGACAATGTCTGGTTAATAATAAAATTACAGCAGCAAAAATCTACCTTAGCTTGAAGAGCAATGTTCTTAGTATCATTAGAAGCGAATACGACGGTGGATCTGCTTCTCTGGTTTGCATCTCTGAGGCACAAGGCTTTGGGGACGAAGCAGCTACTCCTCCCCTGTAGAGACTGTGCTAATGTATTATACGGTATCGCCATCAACGAGAGAGAAATCGTTGACGATTTATATAGAGGCGGACGAAAGTGGCGGCGGGATTATAGAGAAAAACCCTAATTGTTCTCACCGATGAATGATTGAAGGCCTTTTTAAGGACAAAGCCCATCAGTTTTCAAATTAACCAAAAGACCCCCTGTCAAGTAGCTCTAAATTACGAAAGCATCCCTCTTAACTGATTTAATTTCAGTTTCGCCATTCTAATGAATTTTGGGGATCCAAAACCCTAGAAGAAGAAGAAGATCTCGCAGAGTAGGAACATTTAAACTTTTGGGCTTCTGGTCTGTTCTCCGATCATCTCCGGCGTCAATT